TGAGGGTTGCGATCCGTTGCCGGAAACGGAAAAAGACAAAAGACAAAAAAAAAAAAAAAAAGTTTTTAAAAACTTCATTTGACCAGCATAATGGTTTGTTAACTGCAGTTAATGGAGTAAATTTGAGGCAGACTGTTTCCAACACATTATTTTCTTAATTCCTTCATAGTGGCAGTTCGGATTTCCTGGTTCTAGACGACTCTTGAGGAATACAAATACCAGTTCATAAGATACCTGTTGAGCATATATTTATAGGTTAAAGCCATCGTTTATAAATACCTGTTGCCCTCCTTTGCTTTGACTTGTTATTGTGAGTTTTGGTTATTATGGCTTTTACTTTAAAGGATCTGAAGGCTAATGAGTCACGGTTGAAGGACATTAATAAGGTGGCTGAAGACCTGGAGTCTGAAGGTCTAATGGCAGAGGAGGTGCAGGCCGTGCAGCAACAGGTGGGTGTCTCTATCTTGGAGCGAGGCTTTGTTGCCATAAGAAAGCAGTTCCTTCTGGTGTCCTTCATAGCCCAGCAAGCAGTGTTGCATAGTACAGAGTTATGGCTCGGCTGTAGGCCATGCCCTCTGTGTGACCTCAACCATTTCGTTAACTTCCTTGGGCCAGTATCTCTCACCTTCATACAGTAGGGGCCTCCTTTCTTCTCTGTAAGCCCATTAGATGTTGAGAAAGTTGTTTAACATTTGTATAGCCCTTAACTAATGGTAACTTTATGAGATCGTTAAATAATAGAAATAGTTTCAGAAGTTCTGCTGGCCACTTTGGCTAGAATTCCAGTCTTTTTGTAATTCTCTCCTGTGTCTCCAGGCTTGACAGTAATGAGTATTCCTGAGGGGTGTGTGTTTCCTTGAATAATAAAACTGGTTTCCCTCTCTCCTTGTAGGAGGTGTATGGCATGATGCCCAGGGTAAGTCCCAGGTGCTTCGTGTGGAACTTGAACATGAGAAGGATTTAGATCTTGGAAAGAATATGAAGTCAAGAGCTTCTAGAATATTTCTGTTTCTGAACCTGAGATGACTTTTGTATATGAAAATCTGTGGGAAAGAAATACCAGAAGTTGATTTCTATTTGCCATTCTCCAAAAGACCAAAAAAATGTTTCTCAGTTTTCTAAAACTTTTTCCACAGCTATCATGCAGGTTTGTTTATTACCCCTTTTCAAAGAATCCTGAGTATGACATAAAGAGAAGTCGGTAGTTTTCTTATTAAATTTCCTCATTCTATTTCTTCTACTGGATAAAAAAATTGGAATTTTTCTCTCTCCCCACCCCAACCCCCCACCTCTCTCTTTTTTTTTTTTTTT